TAAATTTTACCACTACACATTTAGCAAAATTTAACGTTATATGATGTGTCAAATCAACCTGCATTTTTGTATCTCAGACCCCAACTATCAGAGAGCGTCAGTTTAACAACTTAAGGAGGAATAAATTACATTTTATAAAGTAGAATGTAGTATTCTTTTTGTGTAGATATCACTATAGTGTAGTGTATATGATAATAATAATACACAGTGATTATATTAGTATTTTATTTAAAATACAGATACAAAAAAGTACAATTTACAAAACATAAATATGTGAACCAAGTATAAATTAAAATATGTACAACATTTTACACTTACAATTACCTAATTACTAATGAACAAAAAACTAGGTTCATTATACTACTATATAATAATTAATAAGTTTATTTAAAAATGCATGCATATGCATCATTACTGTTCTTTTTTTAAGTTTGTTATAAAAGCATCTCTGACATCATTTATTGAAAAAGGTTTAAATTCGAAAGAATTTGTATTTTTATTATTTGCCCGTAAATTACTAGTGAAAGTTGTGTCTGATTTTTCCAATCCATCAATAATATTTTCAGCAAAGTTCAAAAAATAATTGTTGAAACTGGTAAATATTTGTATCATGTGATTTAGGAAACTGGGGTTTTTCTTTGATTACTGACCACATGGCTTTGCATTTGTTATTTGACTTAGAAATAAAACGGTCATTGGCATATTTTTTTGCATTATTGAGATCAGATCTGTACCGGGATTTATATGCGATAAAAACTGATTTCGAATTAATGTTGTTTTTGTACAAATTATACATAAAAACTAAGTTAGATCTTTTTTCCTTTAATTCACGAGTGAACCAATTTGTTTTAGTGAAATGTTCTCTTGTAATTTGTTTCAGCGGAAAGCAAAAGTTTATGGCGGTCATTAAAATATTTAAAAACATAAGGAATTTATCATCACAATTTAGTTGAAAATCAATGAAGCTCCCATCTATTTGTGAAAAAATTATCAAGACAATAAATAAATGCCTCTAGTATTACCAAARATAGTTTGATTTAATTCAAATGAGAGTAGCTGATGTACGACACAATTAGCATTATTTTCGTTGGAACCAAATTTAACATTAAAGTCGCCCGATACCACGACATAACGTAAATTATGAATACAGAGTGTGTCAGAAATTGCGTCCCAGAGAAAAATTTCAAGTAAGATAAGACATTTGACACTTTTTTATCTCTATTTAATGATACTGATGATCGTGTATATGTTTTTTTTTATAATTATTTAATAAAGGTACAAAAAATTTGCTAATAAAAGTTAGAATTACAATTTAGGATACAGATGTTTTGTTTTCTCTTATAATAGCCTGTACCAAAAAAACTTAGAAAATTATTTTTTCAACAGAAATAAACAAAGTCAAATTGCAAAATTTAAACTGTCACAACTTCGATATTTTTGTAGATAGGATTTTTTAACATTTTTTCTTGTTTTGATTTTTTATTGTTTTACTTTAGATTTATGTTGGACCTGTGCAAAGAGCTTGAGTAAAGACTGCTRAAATTTATTTACCTATTATTTATTTTTTTGGAAAACATTCTATGAATCAATTATCTAATACGTAGGTAGTTGACTAAATATTCGTCTATTCTAAAATATTCAGTTGTTACCTGWAAATATTGGTCTATGTGGATAACTATATCTGTTTAACACAATAGCTACCCAATATTCAAACCGAATATTTAAAGAAGCCCGACTGTTCTAATGCAAACAGTAATGAATAAAACTGGTTGCAGTTGACATATCCTCAGGCTTTGGCAAATTCGGGGAACGCTGGTCGCCATATGTCATAAAACCTAGTGCAGAATGATGATTTAATGTGATTACTGCTATTCAATAATATGGTGATGCATCTTTACTTTGCTTTCGGATTCTGTCATCTGTGTTTACTCACTTTCATATGGCGGCGACATAGATAGACAGAGAATAAATAGTGATCAAGACAAACACTCTACTTTAAACAATCCAATAATGATCCTTAATTAAAAACAAACTCAAGTGTTTGGTTTATTCTCGTTTCGTCGTGTATGTATTGATTCTAAAAAGGGTGTACTTTGGTAACTATAATTTGCCTTGGAGGAGTTGCACGATATGAATTGTTTTTTTTTTTAAAGAAGAAAGAAATAAAACTTCAAAATTACCTATTATATTATACAGTATGTTCCCGGACTGAGATCACATCAAAAAAAAAATTCTTTAATTTTACACCAAAACTGCAAATGAACAAAAACTATGCATCGTAGAGTATTTTAAATTGTTGCATCGTGTTCAGCGCGTAATTTTATGTCTAGGAAATCATAGCGTTTTACGATTTAAGGTAAATTGACTATTTTACCATTTTACCGTCAAAAACCCAAAAAATTCGTAATTTTTTAAATTTGACAAAATAACGTTTTATCCATTTTTTGAGTCTTTAAGACCTCTAGAAATGTAAAAAACGTTAAATGGATCAATTTTAAAGTTAATTTTTTTTTTGATTTTTGTCGAAATTTTGGTRGATTTRTGGCACCCYGAGCGGTCTAATGGCACTAACTCTGGACTTATTGGAGATAATCTCTTATATTTGGTACTGTTGTATAGAAAATTGAATTTTCTATGATATATTAAAAAGTTCAGTGCTCTACGATGAATAGTTATCGAGAAAATTTCTGATAAAGTCAAAAATATCGAYAATTTAAATCCGACTATAACTTCAAAACTACTACGAATTTTGCAGTTTWATTGACGCCAATCGATTCCCCGGAACATTTTACATAGGTTTAGGTCAAAACATTATGTCATTGAGGTACAGTTTTGCCGCAATTTACAAAATAAAAAAAAGTAAAAATTTGTTAACACCCCCCCCTTAAAAACTAGTGTTTTTAAACATGTCTCAGATTCAATTTAAACCTATCTTATCCGATAGATTTTGACGCGCTAATTACGAATTTACCAATCACTTTGCGCTATCTCCTCTAGTTTCGCCGTAATCGGCGTTTAAAAATTCAAAATTTTTTGCGAGATATCGACTTGGCTTTGYCCTCAGTCGATAGATTTTTTTACGCTGATTACGATGGTGTTGAACTTTTTGCTCTAAGTCTAATAGTTTGGCCGTAATCGCCGTTCAAAAAGTGAAAATTGTCAAAATTGTGAAACTTTAAACGCGTTTTTCTACGAAACTTTAGAACTTAGAGCAAAGGGGTAAAAACCATTAAAATTAGCTTAAAATTATCTATTTACTGGCGCAAACCGGAAGTCGCTCCCGGTTATGGTTCCGGGTACAGAGCCATTTTTAGTTTTTTCAAAAAAAAATTCATATCTCAAAAACCATGAGTCATAGGTCAAAACGATGTTTCTAGGCGTGTTCTCCGGTTAATTTTACATATAGTACTAGTTTTTCATAAGAATAAAAAACTTAACTTTATTACTCAATATCTCAAAAACTATGCAACGTAGAGTATTTTAACTTGTTGCAACGTGTTCAGCGAGTAATTTTACGTCTAGAAAATATTTCAATATTTCATATTTCAAGCGTTTTTACAACTTAAGGCAAATTGACTATTTTTACGATTTTAGTACCGCTCACCATCAAAAACTCAAAAAATTCGTAATTTTTTAAACGTGACCCAATAACGTTTTATATATTTTTTGAGACTTTAAGACCTTTAGGAATGCAAAAAACGTTAAATGGATTATCTTTGAAGTTGAAAATATTTTGGATTTGTGCAAAAATTTTGGTCGATTTTTGGCACCCAGAATCGGATATAGTGCTTATGCTTCTAGTCTTCATTCTTCTGACGCAATGGAAAGAAAAGTTCATTTTTCTCTCCATTTTGTACTTTTGGACAAAAAACAGCTTTAAAATAGTCATCAAATTAATGGCGTATTAAATTTATGTTACAATTAAATGTTCTGTCCACGGGCTCCAAGTTTATTGCAAAATTCGTTTGTTTAATCTGCAAATTTCAAGAAATTTCGCAAATTTTAGGAAGACGACTGTATAGAGAAAAACATTTTTCGGGCCAAATCCTGTATCAAACATCATTCGTAAWGGTTTCCAAAGACAAAATTATGAGCTCCGGAAATTTTCAGAGGCTAGATTCGCCACTGAGGGCGTGATAGCTAATTTCTTTAATGAAAATTGCCATGAGTGCTTTTGATTGTATGAAATATTTCATTACATAGTAAACTATAGCAATGTTATATTCCATTATTAATTAATAATTGCACTGTATATAAATTATGAAACATGTTCTTGATGAACAAACAGTTCATTATTCATCTCAGTTGATTATAAATAATGTTTCGCTTATTTGCAAATTAAAATAAGCAAAACCTTTTAACACATCTATTTTCTCTTATTTTCCGTTCAGTTTAACAGGTGAATTTATTTATGAATTCTGGTGTTTTCCTTTCGAATAATGCATAAAGAAGCTGCGAAATAAGTGTTCTCGCCGGGCRAGGACGACAGGATTTGTCCCGAAATTAGTTCTGCAACGTTATGTATTAGTCGTCGTCGGGATATTCCGGAGATATATGTGTGTTTTATCTAAAATTTATGGCATTAGTTAGTGTGTTGGAGAAGTTTTAGCGTAATAATGGATAGCATTAGATCCATAAGTGATGAATGCGTCTCAGTTGGCCGAATTCATCATTTATGTGAGTGGCAGCTGATTACGCATTGATGCTGACCGAAGTCGCGGGCTCCTGCAGGTGACCACGAAGAAGGCCGCACCGATACCTCCGTCGGGGGCCAATCAAACCCCACTGATTTGTCACCTGTCTTCATCGAGCCCAACCTACTCACATACTCTACTTGGAATTGGAATTCTACTGGTAATGTGTGCGCGCAATCGCGAATCGTGCACCGCCTCTCGTTGACCCGATAAATTCCTCGGCTCTCGAAGAGTGGTTCTTGACGGTTCCACCGTGGACGCCACTCGGCCGCATTTGGCACCAGGTGAGCGTTCGGGAGCGACAACACCCGACGAAACACGAGGCGCGCTTCCACGGCCTGCTGCGACGACCGCGGTTTCAGTTGATTTCAGGAACGCGAAGGGCGAGTTGATACTGAAACGCCCCCGTCGACTATTGACCGCGTGCTTTAATCAAATATAAACAAATAATACTCACAAAWTACTTGTGATTGTGCCGCTTTTGACCGGTTGTGATCGATTGTTTGTGGGATATTCCMGCTAGTTTGGGCTTTTCTCTCGGCCGCCACCAAGGCAAACTAGACTGAGTGCCATGGTCTGACGACACGATTCCTAGAATTTATTTTGGAGAATAGTTCACTCTGACTTTGTCAGTTCAACAAAAGTAAGTTTAAATCAGTCAATTTAAATTTTACTAAAATATTCTTTATTGAACGAAATACACCAAAGGATTAACACTATTCGGGAAATGACAAGTTGTGATCAAACTTCCCCTAGCACATGTTTATTTCTGAAATTCAGTTTCTCCGCCAATGAAGTTCATCCACTAGTGTCACGTGTRAACWTCCATGCCTTTGAAAAAAGCTCTTGAGSTTTGACAGTTTTAATGTCTAATAACCAGAATTTTTTACTTATTATAAATTTGATATTTACTCGTAGTTTTACTATTTAATTATTTTATTTTAAATGTTTTCTACATAGGATTGAACGTGGAGCTTTCAAAAATACATACCAAGTATGGAACCAAATGTTTTGGCTGAAACTATTTATATTTTGGACAAACTAATTGATGAGTGATAAAGTACTATAAAAATGTGATGTTTTATCAAGAATAAAATTTTTCGAAATTTTCTTGTTTTTGGGTTCTACAATTTTTTTTATTTTTTTAAGTGACAACTCATAAAACTATTTTTCTCATGAAGGTTATGATCTAAGGATTACAACTATCTACTTTATATTTAATTAGTGATTTTTTTTTACTCAAAAATAAAACAAAATGGTTCTCAAAATACGATCACATTTTTTATAATTCTTTTATTTATATTAATTATTATTTTCTGTGTAAGCAAATAAGCAGAGGTTATTATTACACAACCATAATATATTGCTAAACCTAAAGTTTGTATACATCATTCAATTTAATTTTATAAGGGTTCTGACGTATTCTTTTGAGGTTTACACCTCTTTTTTTTTCTTAATGTCTTTTATAAGTTGATTATACATATAAGTTTTGAGAAAAAGTAACATATTTTTGGTAATTTACTCATTTTATTTTCTACCAAAAATGTTTTGAAGACATGTTTTTTTCATGAGAAAAAATTGGGCATTACTGTTAATTTTACGCATATTGCATCAAAATACAACGTGATTCAAAAAGATTTTTATCTAGTCGCTTATGGGTTTTCCATGTAAAAAAATACCTTAAAATGTTAATTTTTTTAGACTGACAGCTGTCACTGTTGACAGAACTATCTGGTTCATAAAAAGTGAAGCGGCACAGAAAAATTTGCATGTAAAGAAATTCGATACGTGACTGGATGAAAATCATTTTGTTTTATTTCTAGTGTAAATAAATAAATAGTGCCATCTATTTTATTCTTTTGTTCACGAATTTTTTGACAGTGCTAATTGATATTAAAAATTATAAAAAACTTCAAGACATTGATCTCAAAGTTTGAAAACATGTAACTGTCTTTTTCAAGCGAAGAAAACTTGTTTAAAATTAGGTACATACAGGGTGTTTGAGAACTCGCGTTCCAGAGAAAAATGCCATGTAAGGTAAGACACCAGGAACATGGAAAAAATGTTTAAAAAACTTTATCAAACAATTTTGACATTAATATTTTGATATTTGAACTTTTTTATGTCTATTTAATGTTACTTGTATAGGTATGTTTTTTCATAATTATTCAGTAAAGGACCAAAAACTGTGCCAATAAAATCAACAAATAACGGAAAACATGGTTACAATTCAGGATACTGCTTCGTTGCTTTCTCTTCTAATAGCTTACAAAATTATTTTTTCCAACAGAAATAAATAGGTTTAAAGTACAACATACTCGTATAAGCCCCTATAATTTCGAAATTCTTATAGATAACATTTTTTAAAATTTTTCCTGGTATCTTATCTTAATTGGCATTTTTCTCAGGGGCACGAATTCCGGAACATCCTGTAATAGATGTTTTTTAAATCTAATTTGTCATAATTAACACAATTTTACTTTTCAAATTGTCCCGATATTGCTGTAAAAACAGCCGCTAAATCTTGTAACGGTCATTTTCTGTTATATTGCCTCTAGAAAAAAAAATGTAAAAACAAAATTTGCAATGTTGTACTCGTAAATAGCATATATCTATCTACATTAGGTATATTTTCTCAAGTAGCTTTTATTTTTATAACTAAGTACTTAAGATACAAATGCAGCTATAAGTGGAAACATGGCAAATTTTATGTTTTCTGTTGAACTAGTTCAATGAATTACATATTATCACGATTATCAGCTAAAAACGAGTGTTAATTGTGCTAAATWTGCTTACCTATTTACTTATCTAATTGATTATTTTATGGTCTATCTAGATATTATGTTGGTTAATAAATTTGATTAGACTATACTTCATTTTGAGATTTGTATTGCGGTTATATTATGTATCGATTAAAAATAATTYTTTTGGCWTTCTAACAAAGCTACATTTGATATGTAAAAATGAGAAAACAGCCGTCACTTATGCGATAGTTTACTCACTCTTCCAAGATAAACAAAAGTTTTAATTATTTAACAAGACACCAATATGTTTTAGAATAATTCTCTGCTTCAGGTTTACGAAATATCTGTTAWTGTTATTTAGAAATTGMTTTCTAGGTCGTACATTTATTTGTCGAGTGTCCGTTTCATTGAGTGCGCTCGGATCGATATCGTCCCTGATTGAATGGGACTTGGGCCACATGGGACCTTTGCGTTATCGGCCCGACTGACATTGCTGATTGCACGCTGGTTTGTTTACATTTGCCAGTTACCGCGACTTCCCTTGCTTATCACTCAGGGTCGACACAAAACATTGATAAGGACGTGCCTTCATGGGAATCCCAATCCAGTCTGCATGTCTCCCGTGTTGTTGAACGACGTTTTATTCATTTCTAATATTTTGCATATCGCTTGGAAGAATATCGGTATAGAAATGTGACGTCGACTGGGGTCTAAATCGAAATATGTGGGGCGGTGAAGGTTAAAATAAGAAAACGCTAATATCTCTCTTGGTAGATTCCAGGGCCGTAACCAGGTTTCTTGTTAGTCCATGAAAATGAAATGAAAGAAGGCGGATTAAAAATCAAAAATCTCTAAGTACATGTTTTTATTTTAAATTGAAATAAGAGATCCTAATTAAACATAAAAAAAATCAAATTAACTCACAAAAGTAACAAAAATACAAACTTAAACAGGAGATAGAATATTCATTTTTTAAACAAAAATTTTCTATGAACATATATCGAAAAATGCTACGCAAGGGGTGCGTCTTTTAATAGTTTTTTTTTCAATATTTCCGAAATCATTAGAAAAAAAAATCAAAATTTGGTACAGATGATAACTTTTATACACCTAAACAAGTACAAAAATAAAATGTAAAAATTTGTAATTAGGGGCTCCTAAACTCGGTGGGATTAGGGTAAAAATTTATTCTAACTATTTTGCCTGTGGTTTCTTGCACTTTCAGCGACAAAATTTCATAGTTTTTCATAAAAAAGGTTGTGTTTTTCCGATACAATTTACGGATTTTTAGTAAAAATCGGTTTAAAAATTTATGTTACAGACCATAAACAGCATAAAAATTAAAAATTAAATTTGTTTTACCGTTTAGGACGCCCCTGATTAAAAATTTTGTTATTTGGCATTTGTTTAAGTGTACATATAAGGGTACCAAATTTTGTAATTTTATCTATTGTGAAATATTAGGAAAAACCCTTTAAAAAACGTACCTTTTTTAGGGGATGTAGCTCCCTTTCATAGCATTTTTCGAAACACTTTTGTCTTAAAATTAAATATTCTATCACGTATTTAAATTTGTACCTAACAATAAAAATGAAACACTGTACCGGGTGGGGCATCCGTTACGCCCAAAAAGAAAATCCCCACTTCTAATTAAATAAAATTGTTGAATTTTTTCACACTTACCTGGGCATTAGTAAGGTACATTCTCTAATATTTTGGTAATTTTTCATTCACAAACAAAGCCAAAAAAAAATAAAAAGTAATTTTCTCCCAAAAAATTTAATTCTAATTTTTATACTGACCTACGCAGATTTACTTCCTACAATTGTTTACAAAATCAGAAAAAAAATACCAATTGGATTTTGAATTAAACGCAATTTTTGATCTTAACTTTGAAAATCATTTTTATTTATGACCTGCTACTTGTGGCATGTAAATTTAGGTGACAATGGGGAACTGCAATTGGGGTAAGATTCCAAGGTTTACAACAAAAAGACCCTTTAAAGCGGCCGGCTACCAGTAAATGATTCTTTTGTTGGCAAATTATACCATTTTGTCATAAATCACGGGTCTGGTTTGTGTTTAAATAAAAAAAGTGATTATTTAGCTAACCAAGTCAAAATTTGAAATTGTGATATCAAAGTTTGATGCGCTGACAGGTACAGATTCATTTAGTGTAAAAACTTTATAGGTAAATTAACAGAACTATTCATAAAACACACAAAACTGTTACGGACTCATTTATTATCCAAAAAAATTAGAAAAATTCTCWAATTATACCCTATCAATAATTAATTAGGTATATGAAATATCGTCAGTTTTAATTAATTTGAAGTCGCGATTTATCAAGTGCGCGTAACCGATGRCCCACCCGGTATAATTAATACATGAAAAATTAATTCACAAAAATTAAAAATGAACTAACTTAATTTTTAACACTTATAACACTATACAACAAAGTGCTCAGCATTTCGGGGGGGTTTGAACCCCCTAATCCCCCCCTTGGGTACGGCCGTGGTAGATTTGCAGCAAATTTAGATGTTGGTTTATGTTGCTCTTGTTGCACCAACTTTTTCCTCGGTTTGGACGGAATCATATTTAAACAAAGTGAACAAAGTTTCAAACTACTTATTCTTATTGCAGTTAGACAAGTTTTGTTAAATAAAGAATGTTACGAAGGCAACCTTATGACGATAAGTCAATTAAACTTGTGTAGATTAGTGATATTGGAGTGGATTTTAACCAATTCCCATAGTTTTAGGTTTGAAAAAATCGCATACTTATCGTAGTTGATATTACTGGTTCACCTCACGTGATGAGTATCGTATAGGAGGCGAGTCCAATTTAAAAATTCACTTATTTCATCATATTTTTATGTGGAAAGCCCCTATAAACTGGA